ATTTTCTTTCTTTCTTTCCTTTTTTTTTTAACCACACATGGCTGAGTGCTGAACAGGGGTGAGTGCTTGATGAGATTGGGAAGAAACAGGAAGAACCCCCAGTAGAACCAGAGTCAGGGAGGGGCAGTGGGGGTTGAGGGTGAGGGGAGGAACACTATCTGAACACTGTTACAGAGGCTATAAGAGATAGCTTATCAAGCATTATTGTATCCTAATTGCCCCTTGGGGATAAATAAAGTCTCTCTGATTCTGATTCTGACTCTGATCCAAGTTATCAACTCCATTCTTAGTGCCTCACAGTCTGTCTTTTTTAAAGCTTGATGTTTGATATTTGCACTTTATTGATCAGGCTGCCGCCACAATGGCTCTCATATAGGCTCCTGATTCTGACCCAACTGTCTCTGTCTCTTGCTCTGTTATTTTTAACCAGTTTGAACCTGCGAATCCGGCGTTCATATAGAATGTAATTCAACATATTGAGCCTTCAGGTTCTCCCCATGATGTTGTTCCTCTTCATCTCTCAGAGGCTCTGTATAGTTTAGTGCAGTTGGTTATTGCCATTATTAATATCAGTTTGTGTTCTGGTTTGGTCCCTTCAAACTTTAAACATGCAGCAAAGCAAAACCTGGCTCGACCAAACAGTGCAGTAGTTAAATCTAGCTTCTTTCATTTAAGCCGGCTGGCAAAGTTGAATCCTCTTTTATGATGTCTGGGCTGGATTACTGTAATCCACTTTATATTGAAGTTAGCCAGTCTTCCGTCTTACTTTTGTTCAAAGTCTCACTGAGTGTCTTTTGACAAGAACATGTAAAATTGAGCAGCTCTTGCCCCACCTTACCTTCGAGCTGCTTTAGCCTGACACTCTTGTCCAAGCTCTTAGGTCATCTGACCAGTACATATACAGAAATCTAAGCAGAACCTCAGAGTGTACAAAGCGTTCTCTATTGCTGCCCCTAAGTTACAAGGGGCAATAAATAAATTGCTTTTGCACAACAATAACTTGTGTTGCCCAGCTCTAAAAGTTATCTTAAAACACAGTTATAATTTTTGTCTTGAGATATTGACTTTATTACTATGTGTATGATGTTATGACCTTATTTTTATTGTATTATAGTTGATTGTTTTTGTTTTTAGTGTCTTGAAGATGTTTTTAATTGATGTTTTTGCGTTTTTATCATTTTCCTTAATTCTCTATGTAGCACTACAACACATTTTGATATGTCAGGAAATAAAATTGGCATTGCAGGCACTAACACTATTCCCTCACAGCAAAGGTCCTTTGTCAGAGGTTGGGGGTAGCAGTCAGCTTTACATCAGCATCCTTTCTTGCTGATTAATATTTACTTTAGTCTGCTTAAGCTGTAAAAGTGAACAGTCACTGTTTGGTAGACGAGGCCAATCTAATCCAATTAAATCTGCTGTACTGTGCCAGACCAGGAAGATCAATCTTGTAAATTCCATCCTTCTGGATCCAGTTCATGAAGTAATTTGCTGGGTCATTGACTGAGCCTCTTATTAAAATCTGTCCTACTTAATAAGAAAGCCTTTAAGCATTTTATTTTAAATGGAATGACCACGAAGTATTCTAACAAGTTATAGGGAAAGACCTTGTTACTTTACCTTTAACTTGTCCAGTTACTTTTGAAACTAAGAAAGTAGTGAACTGTGTAAAAATGGCTGTAATTCCTAATATCATAAAAAATGCAATAGTCCTCCAGTCCACATACTGAAGTATCTCGAGTGAAGATTGTGAACGCTGAGTTGCCCCCAATGCATCCATAAGAGTGCAAATGTGTGTGTAAAACTTAGAAAGGCTGCATCACACTCATCTGATCAAAAATAAGTGATCAGTGTATCCTAAAGCACAAAGATTCGCAACATAGATTTAAAATTCTAACTGGGTAGCCACCAGCTAGTATTGAAGCTGCCAACTCTACAATCCTCCACCTCAGGAAGAGCATAATGGGGCTATTATGCTTGCTATATTGCCTGTGTCGCACATCAATTTTGACATCACATCATGTGTTGTGTGACAAAATCACATTTTGGAATTTGGCTTTGTGTCCGCTGAAGCTGGGTTGAAGACAGATGTGTATGATCGAGTCAGCTTTGACCAACTTTTTAATGATATTCCAGTGCAGAGACAGGAACAGATACACAGAACGAGATGTTGGAAAAGTTTGAAAATTTGAAAAAACTTAATTACGGCAGGTAAACTACGGCCTAAGATGCCAGCATCTAACTTTTAAACACGTGTATTCAGACTACTCATCTGCTTAATCTTTGAGCTATGCAAACCACCCTAATACCCATCAATAATTTCTTTGGGCACATCCAGATATAACTGACTAAAATTGTTCTTCAATCCATGAAATGTTATTTAGTTTAGCAGTTTAGGTGTGTTGGACAGGAGTTTTTTTTTTTTTTGCATGATATTACAGCCCACTGTTTATTTTATTTTATTTTTTAATTTTTTATGAGCTTCCAGCTTCTCCAGTGTGGTTGACTGCCTCAAAAAGGACATTCATGTCATCACCATTACACAGGATTAAGGACGTTCCCCATTGCCTGAATACATACTTGTTTGTGAACATATTTTGCTTTTGACTTTTGATGTTCTGACTTCAAATCAAACCGATGGCCCCTTATGAGCAAGCATTCATGACAGTAGGAGGGAAAAACTCTCTGTTAACACGAAGAAACCTCCAGGAAAACCAGGCTCAGGGAGACCAGCTATGGCTGAAGGTGAGGGGAGGGATACAATATAAAAGACACACTGTGGAAGAGAGCCAGAGACTAATAATAACTAATCATTAAATGCAGAGTGGTGTATAAACACTAAGTGAATCAAGAAAAGAGGAGTGGAAGAAACACTCCTAATGAGCCCAATTGCAACAACTAAACCTTAATGAAAAAGAAAATTTACCAGTATAGGAGAAATATGCTCTCTCTTTTTTGCCCTGTCAGTACTCTCGCTCCAGCATTTTGGAACAAATAAAGGTTTTTCACAGTTTTTAGGACAACTACAATAGTCCAGTGTGGAAGTAATAAATGCATGAACTAGTTTTTCAGGATCTCTCTGAGATGGGATGTTTCTAATTTTAGAGCAATGCACAAATGCATGAAAGCACCTGCATATTTGCACATTGAAGTACATATCTTGGTAAAAAAAAAAAAAAGAAAACAACAACCAGTGACTCAAAGATTCCTCACAGTGTTGCTGGAGGCCAAGTTAATGCCATCAGAATAAATACATTTGTCTGAAAATCACAAAACTGCAAAAATAACTGCAATACAATACAGCTCTCTGACTTCCCTGAACAGAGCACTAATGTTCATGGTCTTTAGGCTCAACCTAGCAGAAGCATGCAGAACATCCAACTACCTTGTGGTACATTTCATGATTTCCGACAGTATTATCGATAAAATCCATTCACGATTTTTCCATAGTTTCATCTAGATCTGGGTCAGAGAATGGCCATGTCTGTCTCTTTCTTTTCCTTGTCCTCCTTAATCTTGTGCTTCCTTCATTACTTAATCATGATGCTTAAATGCATAATGATGGCAGTGCTTTAGTAGCCGAGTAGGGAAGCAAAGAAAGAAAGAAAAAGAAACGAATTATGATTCATGGTTGTAAAGCTGCAGGACTTTCACATCATCACAGAGAAAACATCTTATCAAGCATCTCACACTAAGTCAACACAACTATCACATCACCTCCTCCTCCCTGTCTCCATTTCCTTTTTCACTGGCCAGCCATATGCCTCTTTCAAAACCCCCTCCACGCCCATCCCTTTTCCCATCCCCAGCCCACGCCCCAGCCCTTGCTCTCCCCTTTTGATGAATAAATGGCATCTTCGTGTGTGTATTGTACAACAGAGGTGGACTGTACCACTGTGAATGTGGCGGGAGGCTTCAGGGAGGAGTGCTGCAGTGAGAGGAGAGGAAGAAGGAGGAGACGGGGCAGCTAGTAAATCCCTCCCAGCCCTAATCCCTCAGTCGTGCCTGTGTATGTTGATGCTCTTTACATTTTTAGGGCAAAAAGACTAGACTAGGTTTTTTCAGGCTACAAGTGAATTTTAAAGAAAGATCTGATGTGTGACTGGGAGCTTCAACTCGTTTTGTCCTGGTAAGAGAAGTCATTTTTCTGAATGTTTCTTTATGTTATTGACTTAGATTGGAAGAGCTTTACGTTTTGTTCATTTTAAAAAGTAAGATTTCCAAATATAGAAATTTTCAACTGAGGTTTGGACTAAAAAATACCGTAGCAATCTTTTTAAAATGTTTTTATTGCATTTAATATGAAATATTACAATTATCCTCTTCTTGGTATAGTTATTTTTCTTTCAGATAAACTGAAACACAATCACTTACAGTACTCCTTCAAATTCCAGACTGAGCAGCATAAACGCTCTATTTATTTCATAATTTGTATGTAAAATATGTGCATGTACTACATGACACCACCTTGTGGCTTTGGACTGTTTTAAATGCTCAGTGTCAGTACAAAGTTATCAAATATTGTTTTCAAGCTTGGTTTGCATTGGTTATACATAAGCTATACAGGTGCAACACACATACACAGACACCCTCTAATTAGTGCTAACAAGGAAACTAATAAGATACTAGAATTTTACTATATATATATATATATACACATATATATATATATATATATATTATAATCATTATATATATACTATTATATATATTATATATATATATATATACATATATATATATATATATACACACACACACACACATATACATACATACACACACACAGTACAGAAACATCTGTGCTGAGTATGGCCTGGAAGTCACGAGGTCTAAATGGGAGACGCCCCTATGGTGGTGAAGAACGGCTGAGCTAAGATCCTGTGGGACTTCCAAAATGGTGGTGGCTAACCAACCGGATATAGTGGTGGTAGACAGATGGAAGAAGATGGCCATAGTGATAGATGTAGCAAACCGAATGACAGCAACATCAGGAAGAAGGAACACAAGAAGCTAGAGAAGTACCAAGGGCTCAGAGAAGAGCTTGAGAAGATGTGGAGGGTTAAGGTAACAGTGGTCCCAGTGGTAATCGGAGCACTAGGTGCAGTGACTCCCAAGCTAGGCGAGTGGCTCCAGCAGATCACAGGAACAACATCCGAGATCTCTGTCCAAAAGAGCGCAGTCCTAGGAACAGCTAAGATACCCTGCAGGACTCTCTAGCTCTCAGGCCTCTGGCTGAGGACCTGAGCTTGAAGGATAAAGACTGCCTGCAGGGATGAGCGGTAGTAGGTAGTAGGAAGTTTTATAATGAGAGAAAAAAAAAAGTCTGACCCTTAACCTCCTAGGACCTGGCATCCACATACGTGGACATCACATTTTGGGTTATTTAGATTAAAATACTAAATTTTGCTCTACATGGGCCTGATATCCACTTACGAGGGCATTATACTGCTACTGTTCTATCAAACTTTTAAACGACTATCCTCATATGTGGCTCTTATTTTTCTTAAAAACAAAAATAAGGTTGAAAAAAAAATCTGGTAATTCTTTGTTTTTACATTCATCGGGTTCCAATATGCCCAAATATCAAAGAGAAATTAAAAATGCATGTCGTGGAAGAGTTCGGGTCTTAGGAGGTTAAAGGAGAAGCATGTAGAAGTAGACACTCTGGGACTTATGATGTAAAAAAACCCCATAGTAGTAATAATAATAATAATAATAATAATTATAATAATAATGATAATAATGAAATGAATTCCAGCTAGAATTCTGTTTTGCATTAAAACAAGTTTAGTGAATAGCTTATTAAAAATTTGCAATCAATTTTGTGAAGTTGTAATAACATATTCAAAAAATATTTAATTTGTGACAGCCTTGTTCAGTTATTTTGAAATCTACAAAAACAAAAAACAAAACAATGTTTCTATTTCTTTTAAAAATTTAAATAAATGTTTCTCTCTGTGCTTTACTTTCAATTAACTTTATGCAGGTTTTTTTTGCATACAACTGCCTATGTACATCATCTGCATGCAACATACACAGATTCAAAGTTAAACTTATACACATATATAATTATGCTTATGTGCATAAAAAAAGCTGTAATACTGTACATGTAATACTTAGTGATAATAGAGATGTGGGACACCAGTAACAGTTGAAAATTGAGATAAAAATGAAAGTCAGAAGGAAAAAAAGTCTCCTCCGTTTTGAATCAGTAGAGTGTGTTTTACCCAGTCTGTGCGTCTCTCTCTCTCTCTCTCTCTCTGTGTGTGTGTGTGTGTGTGTGTGTGTGTGTGTGTGTGTGTGTGTGTGTAGTGGCTTCCTGCTGTACAAAGACACGCGATGCATTATTAATCTGGTGTAAATGACTAGGCTTGATGCTGAAGCTTCCTCTTCAGCTCCCTCTCCTCACATCTGTCATCACCGGTTTGAGCATAGCTATGTTTGTGTCTTATCACAGTTAAACAGTTTATATCTTTATTTTCGTTGTCATGATGACAGGATGCTTGCCATGTAAGAGGGATAGCTTCTATATTATATTGTTAGACGCCTCTCCACTGCCCTGAGGGGAAGAGAATTGTGTGTGTTTTCATCCTCTGATCTCAGTTTACAGGAAGTAGAGTGTTTTAGAGGCTTGCATTGTGTTTTCTGCTGACCTTGAAAAGCTACAGAGTGCACACTGAACGTGTGTGTGTGTACACACCATATGATAAAATGGCATGGGTTATTAAATTTTAAATATAAAGACTTGGACGAAAAGGATTACTTGAAGTCAGTGACTGCTGCTTGTTTGTGGGTCTTCTTGTATTTAGTTTTGTTAAAAACTGAAAAACTTGCTCTACTGGGTTCAAAACAGTTGGCCACTGAAGAATATATAATTTCCTTCCCTTGAGAAATTCTTGGGTTGCAATTGCAGTAAGCTTTGAGTCATTATCCATTTGTACTGCAAAGCACTGTTTTTGCAGCATTTTGCTGAATCTCACAGAGATGGGTAGGTAGGGCCCATGGCCCTACTCCAGGAAGTAGATTTTGCTAACAACTCTGAGTCTGTTAAACTGGAGATGAGGGAAACTCTGGTTTGGTAAATGGTAAATGGACTGGTTTTTATACTCTCTGAGCACTTAAAGCAACTCATTGCCTCTTGCCTCATTCACCCATTCCCACCCATTTGCACAAGCACTTTCCCCCCCAATGCTCTTTCTCTTTAAGTGCTTTCTAGCTAACATCTTGATACACGTTCAATCATCCACAAACGAGCTAACTTGTCCCGCCAGGACTCCAGGACTGTACACATCCTGGACGGGGAGGAACACTGGTTTGAGCGGGGAGTAAAGGAGGCCATTTACATGAAAATCGAGGAGGGGGCCTAAGGGTACATCTTTCACCATCTTATGATGCTGTGATTGCAGCCATTCCCCAACTTTCTGTGAATGATACTCATGGCCATTGATCAATGAGCTTTGGTCAGTGGTTGTTGATCAATGGTCATGACAATTTGCATATTAATGATCATGAAAGTGACCTCATGGCCCATTGTTAGTCAGTGGTGCTAGTTTTCATCATTATGCAAAAGTACTGTTTATATTGTTGGGTAAACCTGCAGTCAGCTGAGACTGAAGAATTCACTTGGATGACAATGAAACGTTTCTCCCACTGAAAATACTAACAGAATGAACTTTTTAGGGCAGCTAGCGTTTGGTGTCCAGCCTTTCTCTGTAGGTATCTTCACACCTACTCAGGTCCGGCTTCACACTGTATCCTTCTCAACATATCCTTGATCCCAGAGATAAAGATTCCTTTCTTTTCATTCACTAGGATCTCCAGGTCACTGGTGATCCAGGGCCTGTTGCTGAGAAAACAGCATAGAGTCCTGATTGGGATAATTGTATACTCAGAGAAATTTATATAATCAGTGATGTAGTTTGTTATGTCATCCTCATGTGGCTCACAGAGCACATACAAAGCACAACTGAGTGGCAACAGGAAGTCAGAAGCATGCTGTTAACCTGGTCCTGGTACCACAACCTGGTCCTGTTAACAGTAACAAGTGGGGTGAGGGCAGTGGCTCTATATTAAATCCTTGCATGTAAAGGCCCAGAGTTTTATAGCCCTTTTCCATTAGTACTTACTCAGGTCAGCTCGGCACAGATCGATGAGGTTTTTGGGGTTTTCCATTAGGTCAAAAGTACCGGGTACCTTTTTAGGTCTGAAAATGTGACATCAACAGACTTTATGCCATTGATTGGCTGGTCAGTGGCGTCAGTCAGTGAGTTATGAGTGCATTTTCTTTATGAAAATCCAAAACGCTATTTTGAAACCTGGCAATGAAGTAAACAGCTGCACAGAAACAACACCATGGTCCCCGTCTGACGAAAAGCTACAGACTGAGCAGCTGGTATACCATCAGCCCAACGTCCACCTTTGTTGTAGTGTTTATATCCCATCACAAGATGTTCAGCCACGTTGCTATAACAACTCCATGCACATTAGGTGGTACTCGAATGTAAATTAAAAAGCTGAGTAGTGCAACCTCGAGCCAATCCAAGTAGGTCCTAATTGAAAAAGGGCTTTACTTTCCTGTGTTTTGCAGTCCACAGTAAACCTTAAATGTTTACGGTTTTACTAGCGTTTATGTTGAATGCTGCCATGTTGAGTTTGCTAACTCAAGGTATGCTGGATAGCTGCCAGAGTGGAGTCATATTTATATAGTTAAAATCAGCGCTGATGGTGATGAATGCCACTGGATGCCTACACTGTAGGTCGCAACAGTTGTGTGTCTGAGTTTTAGAGGTCTACAGATGGTGCAAAGTGCAGCTGCTCGCATTTTAACAAGAACTGGGAAATTTGAGCACATTAGCCCTGTACTGAACTCTCTTCATTGGCTACCTTGTCAGGTTTGAGCAGATTTTAAGATTTTTCTATATGTCTTAATTGTACGGCTTTTAGTTTTTAAATTTTTATTGTTTTTAACTTGTATTGTGTCTCTTACCTGTATTGCTATGTATCACTTTTATCTTATTTATCCCTTTAATTGTACAGCACTTTGTTTGAAAGTGCTTTATAAATAAAGTTAATAATAATAATAATAATAATAATAATAATAATAATAATAATAATAATAATAATACTGATGTCGCCTGCCACTGCTCCATGGTGGTAATGTAAATACTGCTCACTAATAGTGCAGGAGAATTCCTGTGGTAAATAATAGCCTCAGCTAAAAGTTCAGTTTCAGGCAACCAGAGATGTTCCTACGTGCACATGTCCTGGATTGCACCACCTTTCATTAAGAAGCACTACAATGTCTTCTTGTTTCTTCTTACTGCTCAGCTTGGTGTCTCTGTCAGCCTGAATAATGAAAAACCTGCGTACGCAGCCATGTCTCTGTGAAGTGTAGCAGACTGCACTCACTTTCCTCTCTCATGTCTTATTAGCACCCACAGCTTGTCCATCATTCTAGCCTTTGTTTTGATTCCTAGCAGGGTAGATAAATTCACTATCACTAACAACACACCATAATATTTATGTTTTGGTGCTTAAAAAACACATCTACGGATAGAGACTGATCAGTGCTCTGCATATGGCTTATTGAGTGAGTCAAAAATACACAACAGTGGCAGTACAGATGAAAAAGAAAAACGTTTTACTACTGTTTATGTTGCATGCTGCCATCTTGGATTGCTAGCTCACTTCAAATCTGAGTTGATTTCCGACTGGGAAGTCGGAATTTCCAATTTCTGAGTTGTTCAGGAAAGCACCATAAATGATGGATAATGAGCCAAGGAAAGCAAATCTAAAAGAAAGGCACAAGGGACAGCAAACTTTTAAAATAAAGAAGAAAGTTTGAAAAGAAACCAAATGGGGAAACACAGTCATACAAATGAACTTAATATGCAGAGCAGAGTGCTCATCAGCAGTAACCACCTGCATCATCACCACTATCACCACCACCATAATCAGCAGAAAAAATAAATACGTTTAAAAAAGCATATTTTGGTAGTTAAGGTCTTCTGTGTTCCAAGTGTCACAGTGTACAATAAACTAACCAGTTTTTTTGTTTTCAGGAGTGAAGAGAAGACCTTACAGGAATTTGGAATTACCACTAACAGCACCATAAGAAGCACAACATGGAGCAGAAGTTACTGATGAAACAGACACGTTTTGTTTTATTGGGACAGTCACACCTGAATAGGCTGCACTGCAAATCATACAGACTGATGGTGTGATGTCATTAATAGACCTTTATTTGCTATTAAGTTTAAAAACCAGTAAGTGGAGTAAAGTGACTAATGACCCTGAAACTAGTTTTTAAGGGTAGTAAGTCAGTATGATTAACTAAGAACTCCAACTGCTATTTTATGACAACTATATTTTTCCCTAAAATTCAGAACTGACATAATTAATAAGCCAAACAAAACCTTTTATTTACAGTTATATTAACAGTTAGAAAAGCTGGTCTAGTAGGCCAAGATGGCTGACCACTACCAGAACAACATGTACAGCCAAGGAGACTACCCTCTTCAGGAAGACGATGCAGCAAGTGATGTGACTGAAGGACATGATGAAGAGGATCAGATGTATGAAGGAGAATATCAAGGGATTCCACATCCTGATGACACAAAGGCTGCACAGAGAGCTGCATGGTGAGGCACTGCATATTTAATGTTTCTGGGCACTCTCACTGTAGAGTGGTAGCTGGTGGTGAGGGGTCTCAGGAAATCTGAAAAATGGATCAGTCATAAATGGATTTACAAGTTTGTGCCATATCACAGAAACTAAATAAAAAGGGCCACTGCACTGGAGTTTAAACTTTGTTTTATATTTAATAATTGTTTTACAGTCTGTTTAAATATTAGTGTACATTTTTTAGTATCAAAATATACTGAAAGTGTCTGAACTAAAATGCAGAATCATATATAATATTGGATTATAATTATTATTCATTATTGTGCATATTTCTTTAATGTTGCAGGGGGAATATACTGCTATTTAAGTTTATCTGTAATAATAAATAGTATATCATTAAACTCAAGAACCCCCCCCCCCACCAAAAAAACTCCACTGGAAATGTAGTTTTACTTAACCCTTTCATGCATGAATTATGACAACCTCAATTAGGATTTTTTTCTTAAGTATATATATCCATCTTTAGGCATGAAAAGATGAATAAATATTTAAGAAAAAAATCCTGATTGAGGTTGTCATAATTCATGCATGACAGGGTTAAATAACAATAATTACAATGAAACACGTCATACATCTATAGTAACATTAAACGACCAGTGGGTGGCAGGGTATGGAGTGACACATCAGTGTCCAGTGTAGTGGTTTATGTGCAAGTATACCATCAACACTGACACAAGTACAAGAAAACAGCCTTTGAATAGCTGTCCACTGTAGTGACCGCTATGCATGAAAGGCTTAAGCTTAAATAAGAAAAAAAAAGTCAAAACACTGTAAATACAGGAATGCAAAAATTAAACCTCAAAAATTGGGCACAAAACCTAATAATTTCCATGATAGCATATCTGAGAGTGACAGCAATAATAACCAGATATAGGGCAGGGATAGCACAGTAGGTAGCGTGGTCACCCCATGATCAGAAGGTAGGGGGTTTGAATCCACTGAATGGCTACCCTGAAGTACCCCTGAGCAAGGTAGCGTCCATATACACTGCACCCCGGGTGCCTGATTTGTGGGCTGCAGAGAGAGTAATTTCCTCAAGAGATCAATAAAGTATACAGTATTATCATATATTCAGGACAGTGTAATCAGATCTGGTTTTCAGTGTAATCAAAGATTCACATTTTCTTTTGTCTTCATGGCTTCTTCCAGGGCTAAACCTCAAACAGGTAGCAGTGCAGCATCTGATCTAGAGGAGTTATCTGAGCAGTATGAGTACATCATGGAAGAATGTGGTCATGGGAAATTCCAGTGGATGCTCTTCATAGTGCTGGGCCTGGCTCTAATGGCTGATGGAGTTGAGTGTTTTGTGGTTGCATTTGTTCTACCGTCTGCAGAAAAGGACCTGTGTCTGTCCAATGCAGAGAAAGGAATGCTGGGTAAGCATTAGCTGTAGTGATTGTTGTTTAGAATAAGCACAATCCGAGGTCCCTTCCTTCTCAATTTGAGCACTCAAAGTACTTCACACATTCATACACTGCCTTTATCTACCTTCACACACACACCCAACTCACCTGTTAATGTATCAGGGACAACTGGGGATTCAGTATCTTGAATACTTTGACACATTGACAGGAAAGGATGAATCCTCCAATTTTCCAACTGGTAGATGACCCACTCTACCCACAGGTGCACTACATCTGTGTTGTTCTGTCAAAGCAAGCAGTGCTTGTCCAGCCGTATTTGGACAATGAGGCAGTTTTGTATGGCTTTTAAATCAAAAGTGGAATATGTAATTGAAGTGAGGACTAATTCAAGGGGTTTAACAAGAGCATTTCATTAACTGTTTAGGGAGCTACATTAATTTTCATAAATAGCTCCACATCTCAGGGATTCATACCCAGATGAGGCCTGTTCCCTTTATATTATCAAAAATGTAGAAAATAAAAGATCTGGAGTATATTCCAGATCGATTAAGTGTATTTGCTAGCTTTTTTATAGGAGTCATTTTATAATCAGGTTCTTAGATGCTTGTACTACTTCAACAGTGTGCCTTAAACAATGCCAAGGTGTCATAACATCAGAAATGATTTTTTTCTAATGCTTCACCAAAAGCATTATTACTTAAGCTGGAGAATATTCGTTTTCCTTTTTGCTTGCAGCTTTTAGCTGGTAGTTTTTTCTTGCTGTCAACCCAGGCACATGAACACAGTAAGTCTGTTTGCCTTATCACAATAAGATGTTGATGTGATAAATGGGCACCACAATAGATTTTTTTTAATATATATTGAAATGTTTCAGTGGCAACAGATTAAGATGTACCGGAAGGTGTTAGTTATTATATCACCGATGAGGAAAAACCTGAAAATGACTTTGCAGTAGTCAACACTATATCCAGGTATCAGGGAGCTACATGAGAAATCCCATGTAGCTCCCTCTGCTGTGACCCTTTCAGCTACTGATGCAATTTTTCACCCCAGTAGCAAGGCTGAACGTGTAATAGACACGCCAGTCCACCGAGTCCACTTCACGCTTTGCCTCCTTAAAATGTGAAATGAATACGCATGCAGAAGTTGCATTACTGCATGCAGAAATTGCATTACCTGCTGGGGAAGATAATATATTAGATACAAGAAGTCGTTAGTGAACAAAAAATGTCTGGGCTGTAAGTGAAGCTTTCTTTTTACCTCTGGTAATTGTTGAGCCAAATGACTCGAGATGAAAACGGTATTTTTCTGAGGAAAAGTCACCATGTGAATCAGGTTTTTGCTTGTGATGTTTGTTAGTTTCTATTAGTTTAAAATCTAAAAAGTAATAAAATCTTAGTTTGTGTGAACTGATGCAAACAGGAAGAATAAGTTATTCATGTCTGTAGTTGTTTGTAGGTCAGTTAATTTCTCCGCAGTGAATTTAGTAGTCAAGTAAAGTACTACACTTTGTTTAAGAAAGGTATTCGTGTAATATATGTAATACTTTACTTTTTTTTCTTTTTGAGTAATAACCTTAACAGCAATCTCAACAAAAGAGGGGAAATGCCTCCAACACAATGACAATCAATAAATGCTCGAATCAACAAGTGATATAGATAATGGAATCGGAATTGCTAACTTCTTATCAGTTCCCATCCTTATCCCCCACTGGTCACAGCATATGGCTGCTGCCTGAGCCTGGTTCTGCCAGAGGTTTCATAACATCAGAAATGATGTTTCCTGTTAAAAGAGAGTTTTTCTTTTTTCCCTGATGTCTGAATTTTAAGGTTTTCTATTTATTAATGTAGGGTGCTTACCTTCCAATATAAAGCACATTAAGGCGACTGCTGTTGTGATTTAGTGTTTTATAAATAAAACTGAATTGAAACCGATATTTTTAAACGTGGTTGTCTGTGTTCGTGTTCTGAATCAGTAGAGTGACACACCAATTCTTTTTGTACTGACCTTGAAAAAAGCATATGGGTGCTGCCCAGGTGTCCCTGGACCTTTGTGAAACAGATATTTTACACGTGGTGTAAAATACTGGAGACCAGTATGATGAGTCACAGTTATCCTGTGTTGCATGGCCATCTGTACACTGGTTTAGAATATTGTCAGCATGCCAATCTGGCACCAATCAATGTTAAATGCTTGCCTAAGGCTAAAGCAATCTGCTCATGAAAGTCCATACCAAACAAGGTAAAGAAGGAATTTGATTTCATATATTTCTGCAGAGCATGTTTGATAATAGGTGTGTCATGGTAGAGTGTGATGAAGTGAGGAAAAAGCAAAAAAGTGATCCGTTTATTTAGGCTGGTATAAATCCATGGGAAAGAAAACAAAACCAAATTTAAGAGAAAGTTAAATAAATAAGTTGGGAACAAACAGCCAGAATACACAGTGAAGACACAAGCAAACGACAAACTGCGGCTTTAGATATACACAGACACAAAAGGCAATCAGGGAGGAGTAGAAACACCAGGGTAACAGAGATGAAACCAATCAGATGTGGTTTTGATTTTGAGTATATTGAGGTTTTGCAAAATATCCTTAGTATTAAATAATTTGATATGGCATCCTCTATTACTTCTTCTTTGTGCAGGTCTCATCGTTTTCCTGAGCATGATGGTGGGAGCATTTCTGTGGGGAGGACTGGCAGACAAAGTTGGCCGTCGGCAATGTCTGATTCTGGCATTATCTATAAACTGTATCTTCGCATTTATGTCTTCCTTAGCTCAGGGTTACAGCTTCTTCCTCTTCTTCAGACTTCTTTCTGGCATTGGGTAATGCACACACACACACACACACACACACACACACACACACACACACACACACACACACACACAGACACACGCACAGCCAGTGACACTTTTCAATGATGAGATGTAATCATTATGCAAATGTACTGTTTATAAGGGGGAAACCTGCAGTCAGCTGAAACTGAAGAAGTCACCTGATGATGATGAAATGTTTCTCCTACTGAAAACGCTACATCCAGATGAACAGAACCAACTTTCTGGGACTTTGATTCTAAAAGCTTTGATTCTTACATTTTCAAGCATCAGAGTCCAACAAAGTTACAGCTGGTCCAGACAGCAGCAGAAACACACTAAACAGCCTTTTAAGCTAAAGTGTAAATGTAATATTTTGGTCTCTCTTAGTTAACTAAAACATATTTGTCCTATAGCAGCTACCATAGTGAAGATTATCAACTGAAGCTGGAGTAAAACACACCTTAGTTGACTGGAATCTCCTCAACCCAAGTGCAGAACATTTTTTTACACAGTGTAGAAATAAATGAGGTTCCATATTGAGCCAAATTGCATTCACATGGGACACATTTGTTTTCAATGTGTTTCTTATAATGGTCATGGCTATCTTTTCTAATTTAGCCAAGACAAGTGTGTTTTCTGTCAAATTAAGTTAAATTAAGTTTGCAGTTGCTGTGCTTTAACTTACGAAGGTGTCAAAATGGTGTAATTTAGGTCAAAAACAATACACGTAAAAGAATTAAAAGTGTTTGAGAAAGAGATCTGGATTGTACTCTTGATGAGGGAGCATGGAATTCAATTATTTCTGAAAATGGGCTTTAAATCAGGGAGGCTAGAGGTAAATTTATCCGATATAAAATTCTCAGCAGGTACTATTACATACCAACAAGGCTTCATAAAATGTGCATGAGTAAAGATGACGTGTTGGAAATGCCAAGAAGCAAAAGGATGCTTTGTGGGAATGTCCAGTGGTCTTCCCAATATGGGAAATTGTTTTAAAATACATGGAGAGCTGGGACAAATGTAAATTACAGAAATCACCAAGATTGTGCCTACTGGGGGACAGGGGTGAGGTGCCACATCTAGATAAAGTGACATGTGTTCATCTTATTTTAACACCATTGAAAGAATCTCAACCCTGAATGTGTGGAGGGAGAGAATGACTGAAAATGTGGCATGTGGGAAAATGCTGGGAAGACTGAGCAGCAAAACACAGATTCTAGTAGAACAATGGGACAGTTTTTGTTTGTATGTATCTACAGCATCCGGGTAAGTTATAGTTTGGATTAAGTGTCTTTTGTGTGCAACAATAATCAAGCACTGGTTGATCCCTCTGGTGTCTCTCCTGGAATTTCTAAATATGAACTTCTTAGATCAAATCTTCTGAACTGCTCATCTGACAGGAGACAAAGGGAAGAACCACTTATCTATTCGGAACAACCCATTGTGACGTCTAGTCACCGTTGTTCACATCTATCACCCGATGTCCAGCTACATCCTGTTATCCTCTCTCTTACTTTTCTACATACACGATTTAAAACAAAGTTGAAACTTTAAAATCACTTCATTACATTTTCTTCTTTTCTATGTTGTCGTGTAACATGACTTCTTAGTAATTCCCATTTGAACATTCAGTTACATGTGGATGCACTTCACTTCATGTTTCATTCATTTTATCCAATTTCACTTCAATTAGATTTATCGGTAGCTCATTCTCACATGAACATCCATCTGCACATCTTTTTATTTCAAATGCTTGGGAATACTTTTTCTCTTCAAAACTCTGTAAATATAATTTATTTTATTAAATCATACACCTCAAAGTCAAGAATTATTTTAGAGTTACCTTAGAGTCAGACAACCCACCCCAATCTTCTTACATACACATATACACACATAACCTCCAAGGACACAGTCTCCACACGGTCTCTCGCCACACGACTTGCATCCATGTTCCATTACAGTGATGTTGGTCATGTTTTCAGACTGACGGCACTTCAACTCCAGTGACGCTGAAGGAGGCCAAACTGAATTCTGGGGTGGCAGTGCCATCAAATGTCACCTTGTTGCGGTTTAGAATGTGATACAAATTTCAAATGAACTCTTGTTGCCTCCAAGAAAACGTCGGCTTTGCTCAGAATATCTTTACATATCTTAGCTCTGTGATTTTCAGTGGACGTTTTCTAAAACACAACCTGCTTTTGTGTAGCATCTGTTTTCTTCATTTTTTTGCTCTGGGGGAATATAATAATCTTTAAAATAATGTTGTGGCTGATTATTATTTAAATAATAATCCTTACTATTTTCTTTTCTGTCTTTGCTCTCAGTATTGGTGGCACAGCACCGATCGTGTACTCGTACTTCTCAGAGTTTCTTCAGATGAACAAGAGAGGAGAGCATCTGTCCTGGTTGTGTATGTTCTGGATGATTGGTGGGATCTATGCTTCATTCACTGCCTGGGGAATTATACCCAGATATGGTAAGACTGTTTTGCAAATGTACTGTTTATAAGGGCAATACTGACCAGTGAGTGCATTCACACCTTTGGTGGATGTGGTTCAGGAGAAAATGGAACTAGACTTCTTATTGAAGAGCTGTGGTTCAGCCCCTTACTATGCCAGTCTACATGCCACGTATATTTTTAAATACTGGTTGCAACCTTTGAATAAGAGTGGAAAAATATTGATATATTCATTGCTCTTTAGATAGATTTTTGACACACTTGTGAATAGATAGTTGTGAATCTATTCACAACTATCTATTCAATAGTGAATCAATAGTTTCGTTTTGTCAGCCATAAAAAGCTAATCAGTTGTAACTTTTGCTGCCCTCTTGGCCAGGTCTCCTTTGGAAAGACATTTTAATCTCAATGAGACTTTTTATTTATAGGATAATGAAGATGGATGAAATTAATCTCAGTGACCTCAACCTCATTGTTAGAGGTGCAACCTGTTAAGTTTTATTTTCTATCAGTCTTACATATCAGCAGCACAGTAGTGCAGTGGTTAGCATTATGGTTAGTACTTGTTAAGAGAACTATCCCAGTGACAAGGCACTGTGCTACTAAAGGTGCAATAGGAGTCTCTATTTTGAATGGCTCTACAATTTCACACCAATACGATTCTGTAGATTATGGCTTTCTGCAGGTTTTTAGTGCTGGGGCTCATTCAAACCTCAAAGTAATGCACAACGTTATCCTGTAGTTTCCGAGTTGAGCTAGCTGTTGAAAAACAAACCAAAACAAAAGATTTCCTCTGTTCTGTCTGGACTAAATACCCTGAACAGCCTCAGCTGCAAATACATACAATTACGATAAACTCAGAGAGGAAACATGCATCATTTACCACCTGCATTGCTTAATGCTGCTCTGAATCACTGTTTATGATACATGTCTACTTCTGACAGTTTGAAGTAAAACCTTAGTATTTTTCTCAAAACTTGTAAACAGTGATTTGTGTGTGTGTGTGTGTGTGTGTGTGTGTGTGTAGGCTGGGGCTTCAGTATGGGCACAGAATTTCAGTTCCACGCTTGGCGAGTGTTCGTCCTGGTTGCGGCTCTCCCTGCAATTGCTTCTCTGGTTGGACTTACCTTTATGCCCGAGAGCCCACGTTTCCTCCTGGAGGTGAGACTGTTAGCATAGTGTTTCTTTGTACACCTGCCTGCAAAGTGTACACATGTGGAAAGAACATAGCTGGCATAGTTGTTAATCAATTTAAAAGAGACGATGAAAGTGTTTTTGGAGATCACCGAGATAGTTCACATTCACTATAGATGAACACTGACAGTTTTTTTTTCTTTGTAACGTTTTTCCATGGCTGTGTGTAAGTTTGAATACATCTGCCTGTGTTTGTTTATGGAGCAGAATGGCAAACATGATGACGCGTGGATGATCCTAAAACAGGTCCATGACACTAACTGGAGAGCCAAGGGGCAGCCGGAAAAAGTCTTCACTGTAAGTAAATGATTTTAATTAATAATAATGATTCTTATTGCACTTTCGAATAAACTGATTTTCTTATTTGATGGTAACTTTTTAAATTTTTATTTTCAACAATAAAACGAAACCGCTCAAAGATAACTAACAGCTTACGGCACGCATTAATGTTAAGTGAAGATTTTCACTTTTTTATAAGTGTCATATCTGAATTTACCTTTACGTACCCATGCACTGACACGTAAATATATTGCTCTAGTGAGATATTTAGTAACACAGTCATTATTCTGGTACTGTCATGGTTTCCTGCTTCTTCTTTTTTTTTTTGTCTAAAGAGACATCTGTGGCTTCTAATTTGTTGATGGAGCAACAATCTATTATATTTATCAATCTGCTTGTATTATTGGCTGAGTGTCTGCCCTTGATAAAAAGAAAAAACTGTTTGGTCAGAATATATTGTGAATGGAGTGATTTTTTTCTAGCTGAATGGGAGCATAGGATCTTTGCCGGGTTTAAGTAGTAGACTAATGTTGTTTGTAGATAGAGTCTAATTGTTCTGAATTTGAGTGACCATTCTGAAAAAAGTAGGAGCCGGTGTAGGCCAAAATTCTTTGTAAAATTATGCTGAAAACTATCTTGACCTGGGGCTTTATTTCTCATGAGATGCTGTTGGGCTTCATCATTCAGACATTGAAAGCGGTGAATCCAGACACACAATCTGTTCTTCAGTTTTAGATTAGATTAGATGAGATAGATTAGATTAGATTAGATTAGATGAGATAGAGCTTTATTAACCCATCTGGTGGGTTTCTGCGGGAAATTCAGTTTCCAGTTGCAGAACACCAACAGAAGTTGCATATTACAGAGTTAGAATATCAAATAAAGGGGAATGAGGGAGTGCGAACATAAGTATAAAAATATAGCATATATACACATATATAAATACTAGTGCTGTCAGCGTTAATCTTGTTAAAATGATGTTAACGCCATAAACGCATTATTGCCCCGTACGTGGGGCTGCACAATGCTAATGCAATGATGAGCTAACCACGCTAACACGTTGACTCCGTGCAGCCCCACGCACGGGACGATCCGCGTTAATGAGCTAACGGAGATTTGTCACGTTAATGCGGTTATGGCGTTAACGTCATTTTAACAAGATTAACGCTGACAGCACTAATAAATACAGAATATATCATAGAAATAAATAGGAATACTAGTGAAATATACTCATTAATGAGATGTAGACAGCCAAAGTCTAATGTACATTTCAACTATTGCAAGACTATTGCACAGTGATTATTGCACAGTGAAAAAACACTACAGCTTAGTTGCCCTCCTTTATCCTCCTGTTTCCCCTCACTCTCCCCTCCAGAGAGGAGTTAAACAGTTTGATGGCATGTGGGACAAAGGAGTTTTTAAGTCTGTTGGTCCAAGATTTTGGGGGGAGCAACCTGTTGCTGAGCAGACTCCTCTGGTTGTTTATGACCATATGCAGAGGATGCCCAACTTTCTCCATAATGTCCTGCAGTTTCTTTAATCCTCTGCTCTGCCACTGTCACCAGAGTGTCCAGCTTCATGCCAACCACAGAGCTAGCCTTCCTGATTAGTTTTTTCAGTCTGGATGAGTCCTTCTTTACTGTGCTGCTCCTCCAGCACACCACAGCATAGAATAGTACTCCGGCAACCACCAACCGGTAAAACATCCTCAGGAGCTTCCTGCAGATGTTGAAAGAACTCAGTCTCCTGAGGACGTACAGGTGCTGCATGTTGTATGACCAATGCAGTTTGTTGTTCACCCACAATCCGAGGTACTTGTACTTGTTGACCACCTCCACCTCCTCTCCCTCTATCTGAACTGGCAGTGGACCTGGTCTGGACCTCCTGATGTCCACAACCAGTTCCTTGGTCTTTGAGGTGTTGAGTTGCAGGTGGTTTGTGCGACTCCATGTAACAAAGTTCCTCACCAGACTCCTGTACTCCTCTTCCTAATCACCCCAGATACACCCCATGATGGCTGTGTTGTCTGCAAACTTCTGAAGGCATGATTCAGAGTTGTAGCAGAAGTCAGAGGTGTACAGGGTGAAGAGAAGAGGGGACAGCACAGTTCCCTGTGGTGCCGCAGGTTAGAGCCCAGATAAATGCCACACTCAGTTCCAGTAGCACTCATCTCTACATCAACTGTTCAGAGGAGACTGTGTTAATCAGGATTTTATGGTCAAATAGCTGCTAAGAAACCACTACTAAGGAAAAGCAACAAGCAGCATAGATCTGTTTGGGCCAAGAAACACAAGGAATGGACATTAGACCAGTGGAAATCTGTGCTTTGGTCTGATGAGTCCAAATTTAAGATCTTTGGTTCCATCCACCGTGTCTTTGTGTGATGCAGAAAAGGTCTCTACATGCATGATTCCCACCATGAAGCATGGAAGAAGAGGTGTGATGGTGCTTTGCTAGTGACACTGTTGGGGATTTATTGAAAATTGAAGACACACTGAGCCAGCATGGCTATCACAGCATCCTGTGCAACATGCCATCCCATCCAGTTTGCGTTTAGTTGGTCCATCATTTATTTTTCAACAGGACAGTGACCCCAAACACACCTCCTGGCTGAGTAAGGGCTATTTGACCAAGAAGGAGAGAGATGGAGTGCTGCGCCAGATGGCCTGGCCTCCACAGTCACCTGACCTAAAACCAATCAAGACGGAGATGGACCGCAGAGTGAAGACAAAAGCGTCAGTGCTCAGCGTCTCTGGGAACTCCTTCAAGACTGTTGGAAAATCATTTCAAGTGATGACCTCATGAAGCTCATCGAGAGAATGCCAAGAGTGTGCAAAGCAGTAATCAAAGCAAAGGGGGGCTGTTTTGAGGAATCTGAAATATAAAACATGTTTTGAGTTATTTCACGCTTTTTTAGTTCATAAATAATTCCACACGTGTTCATTTGTAGTTTTACAGTGTATATAGTCATGAAAATAAAGAAAAAGCATTAAATGAGGAGAGAGAAACCAAGTCTGTTCTGCTATAAATTTATGTATAAAGTAAAGTAAATACACCTAATTCTGTTATGTTAAGAAAAAGCTACTTCGCAGTGTTTTTCAAAAAGTTTCCTGTTTTTTTTTTTTTTATAGGTGGTGCACATCAAGACACCGAAAACAACTGAAGACGGTTTTTTCGAGGTTCAGAGTGCAACGAGAACACCTGTACAACGATGGGCTGTACGCTCACTGACACTCTGTAAACTGGTATGTAGGAACACAGACTGGAGCACCATCTCCAGCTCAGAATCTGGCTTGGACTTATTTTGTATTATTGTAGGTTTTTTACCTTACAATATAAGGTGCCTATTGTGATTTGGCGCTATATAAATAAAATTGAATTTACTGAGGGGTCAGAGAAGGGTGAATGTGGGTTTGTCCTAGTTAAATGTTATGTTCCCCTAGATAGTTCAAGGGATGTCAAGAAATAACAATAAAACTCTCCAGGTTGAAAGTGTCAAAGGACATGACACAAATGAATTTATTATTGTTATTTTTATTACTTTCATTATTTATTTGTTAATAACTTAACTAAAAGAGACAGAAGCTTCTATCACCACCAACAAGGAAGAACACAAAACACGTAGTTTGGTCAAAACAATTATAAATGATCAAAACACACTCTTCTCCGCTGACTAGGAGGAAAGTTACAAGCAAACAGCACACACTATAAAGAGAATGACACTCTGGCACCAGAGCTCGAATTTGCTTGACACAAACCTCCAGTGTTAATTTTGACAGCAAATTTTGACTAAAAATTTTATTAAACATAATTTACACATCTTAAGTCTTTTAGTTTAGTTGTACTTTTAGTAGACTAAATCTAAAGTTGATTTAATAGACTAAAATATAAAGTGTAAAAGTTTGTCATGTTTTTACTGGTGAGAGTTGATCCACATGGTTTAAAAAGAGTCTTTTTTCACACCTGTAGTGTTTACTCCATTCAAATGGGACTCTGCTGTATTCTCCCATTTGGTGAAGTTTGTTTGTGCAGGTGTTCAGTTCAGTTCAGTTCAGTTGATTTTTATTTCAAACATTTCAAACATGTGCCTTCACAATCATTACAAAATATCATTCCATTATTTGTTTGAAAAGGAGTAGGCAGAAGTATTTACTTATTTGTCCCTACCCCCTCAAGTTTGACCTCTCATTCATTTAATTTTTTTAAAGTCTTAAATTAAACAAACAACATATGAAACAAAAGTAAAGCAAAACAAAACCAAACATACATAAATCAAAAACAAGAAATTAGCAAGCCCCACCACAGTATAGTTTCTTTCATATGAAAAATACAGAATGTGTATATTTGCAGATACACAAGTTATGGAAAAACAACAAACCAAAACAAACAAACAAAAAAACACAGTAAACACAGTGTGGACCAAAATAACCGCACCGAGATCCTTTGGATAGGCTGGTCTCGGTACGGTTAAAAAAAACAACCCTTTGTTTGTTTAATGTCTGAGCATGTGCTGACCCCGATCCGAGCCAACTATCATGTGTGTTGCAGGTTTGAGCTAAAAAAACATCCTGCTGTATGCTTTGTATTCTCAATGCGGGAACTATAGTTGTGTCTCTACGGGCTAGTAGCTAGCCATGAAATAACTATAAATTCTCTGTGTTCAGCAGTACAGAACACTGCACTTTCTTCCTGTACTTACTTTTGTTTCTCTTTCCCCAAACACATCTGGCCAATGAGTTTACTGAACATTATTGTGTGGTTTGTAATTATGGATTTTGGCTTATTTGGAGTTCAATTGGATTTTTTGTTGTGTGAAAACGAAACAAACCAAGACAAAAGCTACAAGTTTACAAACTCATTAACTGATTCAGACCAGAGTAAATGAGCTACAGGTGTGTGTGGCCGAGGAATGGGTTCAGGGTGTACATGAGGCTGTGGTTGGCTTGTATGCGTGCAGATCCTGCACCACCAAAACCTGGTTGGGCCCTGGGCATTGTTGGAGGAAGAGTGGGTAAAGGTTAGGTGTCGGAAATGCATTCCTGCCTGTGCACTGTTGGCTCTGGGTCCATTGTGTAACTGGCGCCACCAACATTAACAGGACGATTGCATTAGAGCCTCTTATTACGTGTTTTGTTTGTTTTGTTTCAGAATCAGAGAAATTGTATTAATCCCAGATGGAATTTTTTTTTTTAAAGATTTCGGGCCATACTCGAACTCAGGCTGTCCACTCTCAGCCACGCAAGATACATGCTCATCCGACTGCGTTTGATCATTAAAATTTTCTTTTTTGAAAAAGTGGAAATGGGTTAACAAAAATGTGGAAAAGCAAGTGGTGCTGAAAACAAGCTCCACATTCCTTGTCTTCAGTCGCCACTTATAAAGATGAGGCAATTAGGTGATGTGAGGGAAAACTTCCTTGTTTTGGAAACAAAGCAGTCAGTGGTAATAAATAAAAACTGCATGGTTCTAGGCTCATTCTGTGTTTGTATATGTAAACCAGGTGTTGAGGAACGTGGCATCTCTCCTTTCTGCAGAGCTGAGATTTGCTACACTCTTCATGGCTGTCATCTGGTTCTGCATGGCTTTCAGGTAAGTTCCCAATTTCAATTCAACTTTTGATTCAATTTTATTTATATGCTGCCAAATCACAACAACAGTTGCCTCAAAGCACTTTATATTGTAAGGTAAAGACCCAAAAATAAAAGGGAGAAAACTCCAACAATCACACAACCCCCTTTGAGCAAGCACTTGACAACAGTGGGGAGGGAAAATTCCCTTCAACAGGAAGAAACCTCAGTCAGAACCAGGCGGGCAGCCATCTGCCACAACTGGTTGGGCTGAGGGGAGGAAGACAGGATAAAAGGCACACTGTGGATGACAGCTAGAGATGAATAATAATTTATGCACAATGAAAGCAGTGGTGTGATGCATAGTAAGTGGAAAAAGGTGAATGAAGAAGAAATACTCATGGAAAACATGTTTTCTAATGGTTAAATTCTTGTTTCCAATCCAACTTTATTTATAGAGCACTTTAAAAACAACATGGCTGACCAAAGTGCTTTCCAGTAAAAGAAAAACAGATAAAAGTTAAAAACCATACATTAAACGGACAATGAAAGTTAAATAACAATAAAATAAATACATAAATTAAAAAGGGATAAAATAAATCAGTAAATATTAAATATTAAAACAGGAGTAAAATAGACAATAAAATATACAATAAATAAAATTAACAAAGTAAAAAAAGACTAAAAGCAACCAAAAGCTGACTAAAACTGACTACAAGCTGACTGTGGTTCTTCTCCTTAAAAACCTTAGAAAAAAGGTGTGTTTTTAAAAGTGATTTGAAGATTTCAAGTGTTGGGGCCAGCCGAATATGGAGGGACAACTTATTCCATAATTTGGGGGCCACAACAGCGAACCCATGTGGAAAAGAAATAGAAAAAAACTTATAAAAGACTTGCATCAGATTTGGCCTACTTCATATAGTGAATCATATAAGGCATATATGATTTACTCATGAAAGTGGCCACTTTCTCATTACTTTCATATATTGTTTTAGTAAGTATCCAAAACATACAAGTTTCATTTATATAATTTTTCAAGGGATCTTATATCTGTTTTCACTCTTGTATGCTTTTCATACAAGTTTCACACAAGACAGATACAAACTTTATAAGATTTATATATATCTTTTCCATATGGGAATGCTCAGTCCCCCTGGTGTTTCAGTCTCGACATGGGGACAGCAAGGAGTGGCTGGTCAGTTAATCTGAGAGACATAAATGGAGTGTATGCAGAAGGTCTGACAGGTAAGTAGGAGCCAGGCCATTCAAAACTTTAAAAGCAAACAATAAAATTTTTAAATGAATTTTAAAATGGACAGGAAACCAGTGTAAAGAGGCAAGAACAGGGCTAATGTGCTCGTGTTTGTGTGTACCTGTCAGCAGGCGAGCAGCAGCATTCTGGACCATTTGCAAGTGGGATAGTGAAGCCTGATCAATACCAATATAAAGGGCATTACAATAATCAAGTGGTGAGTGGTCACAAATGCATGTAAAACTCTAAGTCACAAAAAGAGATAATAGGTTTGACTTTAGAGAGCTGCCTCAGCTGAAAAAAGCCATTTCTCACCGCTCTACTTATCTGTTTGTCCATTTTAAGAGCTGTGTCAATTTTTACTCCAAGGTTGCTGATAATTGGTTTGACACAGGATGTAAGAGGACCCAAGTCAAGTGGTGGGACACCAGGGCCACTCGGCCCAAATATAATGACCTCAGTCTTCTTTTCATTAAAATTAAAAAAAATTCAGAGCCAGCCATGCTCTGAGGCATTCTAAAATAGGCCTGAGGGAGTTAGGGTCATTATGTTTCTGTCATGGCTACCGGACAGACTTACAAGCAGACAGAGTTTTTTGCAAACAAAAGAAGACAGTTTATTAACAACGGGGAAGACCTCAGTGCTATATATATGTACAGTGAACTGGGAGGGGGGTCCAGGGCTCCAGGGAGAGGGGGTAATCCTCACACTAACTCTTCCTCAGCCACACTGGCTCCCAAATCTTCACTCACACCACCACACACAGGAAGGGTCCGTAATCTGGTCCAGGAGGGGGATATTCAGGAGATTCAACGTTCCAACGGCGAACTGCTCTGTGCCACTGCCTTAAATAGTAGCTGGGGAAATCAGCCAGATCAGCAGCAAGTGGTGACAATCACACAGGTGTGTGGGCCAAGCGCGAGAGCCTGTAACGAGCTCTGCCCAGGCAGAGAGGAGCGAGGGAGAGGCAGAGAGGAAGAGAAAAACAAAAACAAAACCTGTAGCCAGTGTGAGCCAGCCAGAGAGACACGGGGACCATGACAGTTTCAGGGGTAGATAAATCTGACAGTCATCTGCATAACAATAAAATGACACTTTATGTTTGTTTGTTTTTTAATAATATGGCCAAAAGGAAGTAAATAAATGCTAAAAAGAAGGGGCCCGAGGATGGATCCTTGAGGTACACCACATGGGAGGGGGGCAGAGGATGAATAAAATTTACCAAGTGAGACTGAGAAACTTCTGTCAAACAGATATGACCTGAACCACTCCAAGGCTGTGCCTCTAATTCCAACATGATGTTCTACGCGAGAAATTAAAATGTTGTGATCTACGGCATCAAAAGCTGCTGTGAGATTCAAAAGCACAAATAACACGGAATTCCCAGAGTCAGCAGTTAGTAAAATATCATTAAAAACTCTCAAAAGTGCAGACTCTGTGGTGTGAAGTGCTATGAAACCTGATCGAAATACTGCAATTTTTTTTTGACTGTTTAAAAAAGTCTGCAGCTGTGAAGACACTACGTTTCCAAAATTTTAGGAACAAAAGGAAGCTTTGAAATAGTTCTGAAATTATACAACAAAGAGGCATCCAGGCCAGGGCGTTTCAGCAGAAGCTGGACCACTGCCTGTTTAAAAGTTACAGGTACATCACCTAAAGTCAGGCTGCTGTTCATAAGCCTTTGAATATAAGGTCCAATAGTGTCCCAAACTTATTTTAAAAAAGCGATGGCGAAGGACATCACTGGGAGAGCCAGACTTGATTTGGGTAACAATTTGCCCCAGATAAGACAGAGACACGTGGTCAAAATGGCTAAAACTGCCAAAGGTGTGATAATAAGTTATTTGTAAAGAAATTCATTAAGTTGTTACTAATGAATACTCATACTTGATAATACTCTTTCATTCCAGTCTCACATTAATTACATAACACGGTCTGCTTACTTCCATTTACGTAATATTCACCGACTCCGTCCCTTCCTT